GCCTAACAGGCATGTTTGATCTCAATTTCAGTACTAAACGCGAGTCCGAAGGAGAATCGGGTCGCCCAGGGATAGAAGAGGAAGAATTTTTGAAGGGAGTAGTTCTATGCCACACACTGCGGCGTGGGGTTGGTCCGCCATGGTACATGCATGCCAACACACCTGGGAGAAGCTCTCTGTGCCATGAGCCACGATATATTGTGCATCCGTCGCGGTGCATAGCCAGAATTTTGCAGTATTAAGTCGCGAATTTGAAGTGAAAATGAAGAGAAAACAAAAGAGACTGAAGGAGTGGCGAAAAAGCTGAGCTAGGGTTTGAAAAAACTGATTATTGGGAGTAATTTGGAGCTCATAAACACCCAAAGTAAGCTTCCTAGCTTAAATCTTCCTCTCTTCTTTCATTTTCTTGATGGTAGATGTTATGGTTTAATTTCTAATGGTGATTTTCGATCTATAAAGGTTATAGATTTGAACCTATTGACTTAAATAGAGTTTATGGGGGTAAATTGAGCTAAGTAAACATGATATTTATGATTTTATGAAGATTGATGGTTGGAAGACATTAAATGTCCGAAATTCCCATAAATTTGGTGGTTGAGAATAATGTGGCTTCATTAATACCCATTTAAGAGCTTAATGTTATAGTAAGAGTTAAAGGAAGCTAAAAAACTTTATAGATACTTCTACATGAGTTTAGAATAAAGCTTGAGTATTAAGAAATGATGAAAATACTAGTGAAAAATAGTTCAAAATAGATATTGATGTTTTGCATGGTAAATGCTTGTAGTGTAATTACCATTGGTACCATTCAAGCTTCTTAGAAGCTTCAGGAGCGAATAGTTGAGAGGTGAAACCTTTGACTTTTCAAAGGTTTGAGGTAACCGAGGGAATTATCTCTTATGCTTATGTGTCTATTAGTTTATTGATTTATGAATTATTATTGAAATGTATAAACTAGAGAAAATGCAAGTGTGGCTTAATTTGTAAATAATTGTGAAGAAATCCATTAGATTAAATTTGTAAGTTTTATGTCTTAAAATGCAAAATTTTCCTTGAGAAGAATAGTGGTGGATTTTCGTATTAATATTTATTGAGAGTACAATGATTTTTACAAATTGAGAAGCAAAATGAATATTTGTTTATGAGGAGTTCAATGATGTTTGAAAATAAAAAAGTTCACTAATTTTGAAAGTGTGAGGTACAATGATTGTGATTTGGGGAGTTCAACAACTTGTTTGGCTTTGAAGTTCCATGAAATATGTTGAGAAGTTCAATGATTGTGTAATGATGAAGTTTAATGATTTTAAAAATGTGAAGTATAATGATTGTGATTTGGGAGTTCAATGACTTATTGGGTTTTGAAGTTCCATAAAATGTGTTTGAGAAGTCCAATGATTGTGTAATGATGAAGTTCAATGAAAAATGATAATGTGAAGTTCTATGAATTGTATATATGTGAGTTATGGCATGAATGTCTATTGCATGATCTTGAGAGGCAGGAGTTCGCCTAGGAAGCAAAGTAGATGAGAAATCCACGTGGTAAGGCCCCATCCATGTGATGGACTGCCTAGATTAATTCTATCCTTACTGTCCCACTGGTTCAATGATGGACTCGAACCTAACTAGCTATCCACCGATTCAATGAGAAAGTTAGTCTAGGGTGTATGACACCCTATAGTGTGAGAAATGGGGAAAACTGTGATCCATAAGTGAGTTGGATACACTTTGGTCGGGTAATCCCCTCACAAGTGTTTAGGCTAGGGAATTCAAAGAATATAAACTATCCCATTGAGTTATAGCCCACGGTTTCGTGTCAAAGGAATAAGGAGGTGATAAGTGAGGTGTGATCATGCATATAGTAAGTAAAGGAACTTGTTGTCTATATTGAGTCCATAATGATGGAATTTTGAGTTGAGTATTAATTTCTGCTATTATGCTTGTCAATAATTTGCTTGATCAACTTTATCTCTACGAAAATTGCTAAAAGCAATATTTTCCTAATAGTTGCTATTATGTGAGCTGAACTGTGAATATTAAGTTTTCAAATGTCTCACATGGGTTAGAGTATTAATATTAATAGCCACTTGCATTTAAACTAGATGTCATGCATTAGCATGGGCTAGTTGGACCTTGGTTACTGAGTAGTTATACTCACCCCGTTATCTTCAAAATTTCAGGAAATAGCTCAAAAAGTGTGCACAAAGGAAAATAACCTGAGGCTTAGGATCATGATCATTTTTAATAGGCCTCTTTATTTTGGGTAATTTATGTATATGACAATTTTGATTGCCAACTAGGATTTTCCTTTTTGTTTCTTACTTGTATTAAGAGAAAAGTAAATTGTAATGGTATTTTAGGCCCTAGGGAGAGAGTTGATTATTATGTGTTATGTTGATAGGGCCAAAATACTAATGCAAGTAAAGGTAGTGCATATTATGTGATAATTTAGGAAATCTTGATGAAAATTGTGGTAAACTCGCCCTTCCTATAATTTTGAGTTAAGGGGTTGAGTAGTGAAAATTTGATTTAGAAATATTTCTTGTGTTTTGGTGCTTTGCACGAGTTAATTTTGTTGAGTTGTATGTGGTCATTTGGTGTCGGTGGCCATTGGTCCTTAATTTTGGGATATGACACTTGAAATTTGTGAAAGTTGAGGTAAATGAGTAAGTTTTGAAAAGAGTATCCAATTCTTGTTTTTAAAAATAATTTGAGCCTGAGACCAATGCCATTAGTTAGAGCCTGGAAAGAGCTTTTCGTAAACTCCTAGTTCACGACATTCAGACGTCGAACGGAAATTTAGGGAGCGTCGGAAGTTGGCCCTCAAACTGTCAAATTGACAGCAGAACTCACTATCAAAGTTCATGCATTTGCACCACAGAGGCGAACACGCTGTGGCACATGTCCAACGAGCCACGGCGTATGCCTTAAAATTTTTCAGAATTTTTCTTATTTCAAATTCTTACACAAATGCACTCACTTATGAAATGATCACTTGTTTCCGCGTATTTGTGAACTTTGATTTTCCTCTTTGCAAGACTTGATTTGACTTTAAATTTATAATCTTGGGGTTCCCAATTTGTTAACCAATGAGAATTTTATATTTGATATTTACTATTGTCTCATTTCCCTAATTACTTAGGATTCGAGTCTAATTATGAGACTAAAAGGAGGAGGATATTGCAATATAAAACCAAAGACTATATAAATATAATAGTTATATTCTCCGGACCCCAATCCTACCTCACCCATATAATAGTTTTTGTAATAACAATTATATAGAGGATGATACGCTATTTTTTAGTAGTGGTGGCAATAATTAAAAATTCATGCGTGAAGCCCATTTGACCAAATCAACATGGTTAAGTCCTTTTATTAATTGATGATTCTCTATATTTTCATGTATTTTGAGGAGTTTTATTGGTTAATTAGAGAGTCATCTAGTCTTTTTTTGTTAATTGTCTTGTGTTTAGAGTTTATTTTAGTGTTAGTTAGTTTATCTTGTAAATATGGTGTTTTGTTTTATTTTACAATAATTTCTTTCATTAATTTGAGTCATTTTAATTTTAAGAACCCTTGTAAAAGCTTAGAAGATGTGGAGGAAGGAAAATATAATGATTTTAACAAAGAAATTAGACTTTAATGATCACCCATTACAGCAACTGTTACACAGCAGGTCAATATTATAAGGCAAATTCTAAACTAAAAATAGAGCTCGCTATAGTGGGCACTACAACGAATTTGCACCAGAACGCACTGTTTCAGTTTTTCTATTTGATAAAAGAGGGAAACTAGGGTTTTTGAAGGGAGATTTGTTTTTATGTTCTCTGAAGGTCCAGAGGTGATTTTGGAGTGCTTGGAATGATTTTGGAGCTTGGAATCAAGATAACTCATCACAATTCACGCTTTCATTGAGTTTTTCTTCACTCTTATCCTTCTTTTTCCTATGTATTTGATTTAGTCCCATTATTCTGTTGTTTTGAGATTGTTTTTAGCTATGTGTGGCTGAATCTTGATGCTCTAGAGTCCTATGAACTCATTTGCTCTGATTGTATCTTGATTTATCTATTACTTTGTGATTAATGAATGTTTTATGTTTTAATTCTAGTTTTTATTTGTGTTGCTTGATGATTGGCCACTAGTAAGTGATAATTTGGAGGAATAGAATGAATTTGGGAAAGGAATTTCTGTTTGGACTATTGGAATTAAATGCTTAGGATTAATTATAGTTAATTTGCCTCTAGAACAAAAATATACCTAAATGACCTAAGTAGTTAGAAAGCATTTGAAATTAATGCTCTTAATCTAATTTTGGTAAAGAATTGTTGGGTTAGAATTAAGAAGGATTTTGGATAATCAGAAGATATTCAAAATTAATTTTTGTATTCCAACCCTTAAAACTAAAATTATAATCAATTTAATCGATAAGTTGAGTGTAATGAAGCAAATGAGGGATTAGAACATTAAAATGCTTTCCCAATCATTTATTGACTTTTGAGTGCTTCAAAATCTTAGTTGCTTTCTTTACATTTTTTTTATTTTAAATTTGAATCATTCACTATTATAGTTTGCTTGCTTAATGTGAATAAAATTGAAAATTTAATGCCTATTTATCAATTTACTTAATTCACTAAAGGATTGTCCTTGATTTGTTATTAGCTATAATTGCAATTCGTACACTTGCCATGTTCCTTTGATTTTTGTGTGCATCATTAGTCTACAGCAAAATTGTACCAATTTTAAAAAAAATATTAAAGTGACATTACACTTTTTAAAACGTTAGGATGTCAAATGCACTTTCTTGGAAATGTCCGAGGCATATTTGCACTCTAATCCTTTTTTTAATAAAATCATCAGGTTAACTTGAGGGTTTTTTAAAAAAAATAAATAAATACCATCAAGTAGTGTGTCCAGAAGCATTAATATTGATTTGAAATCCAATAAATGCTTTATCATGCAAGCACCTAAATATGACAAATAGAGACTTTAATTCACATGAAATGAGAAACAAAATCCTTAATATATGAACGCAAAGCAGAGAACAACTTCGCTCTTTTCATGTGTACGTACTACATTGAATTATAGTCAAACATGTATACTACAATCTCTCCTCTTCTCTCCATGCTTTTTCCCTCTCTTCACCTTCACTAAACTCATTCTCTCCATTGCACTCGCAAAAGCTTGGAAAAACTTCTGCTTATCTTTTGCCAAAGCTTCGACCAACAGCTTCGTTCTCGGATCTGAAAACAAAGCTTGATCTGAGGCTAGCAAGCCCATCTTCTTCTGCAAGTTCCCATAGTAGGCATGGTCGAACAGGAATGGAGTAGTGGCATCAAAAGGAACCACAGCATCTGAACCTCCATAGCTGGGGCAATACATCCTCAATGCATACATGAGTTTCGGATCCATGTTTGGGTCGGGTTGGCCCCTGGCCTGGTAGTTATAGAGCCGGGTCACGAAGTGGTTACAATGGGCAAACCCAATCGTGTGGGCACCCGAGAGAGCAACCATCTCTTCTAGGGTTAGGCCTTTGGAGGTGAAGAGCTTGATTAGTTGATCAACGGTGGAATTAGCATGAGGAAGATTGTTTCCAACCCTTGAAGCCATTGATATTTTTCCATCCCATCGACCCTTTTTTACTTGGTAATATGGCCCTCCTGCCTGTAATTACATTACGAAAATTAGTATTATTAATTTGTGGGTTTTTTGTTTGTATAATGGAGCATTTGAGTGCAATTACTAATTGGAAATGAAATTTGATTATTCAATGTGGTTCAAATTTTACATAACATCATTAGCATTACTAGTTGAAAGAAGGGAAATAAGAGGGTGTTGAGAGGTAATAATTCTTATTATATAATTGTTTTTAATCGAAGGTTTCTATGTGTTATAAAAGATATACATAATATGTATATTATTTATTTGTTGCTTTTAAAATAACGTGACTTCTTTTGAATTTAATATATTAATTACTCCCTCCATTAAAAAATATAAGATATTTTTTAAGAAGTTTGATATTTAAAAATGTAAGACATTTTTAGTCTTTTGAGGTGTAATTATTGTTTTTTTTTTAAACTGCCCTTATTGATGAATGACTTTATATTTATTGTAAAATATTTAATAGAAATAAATATAAAAAAATAGGATTAGTTTAAAAGTAGGTAACTATTTTATTGAGATAAAATTTGATTAAAAATATCTTTTATTTTTAGACGAAAAGAGTATATGATTTCAAATAAATTATATGATGTAAAAAATATACTATTTTTAATTCATAAATAATACAATTTCAAATAAATTTTATATTATATTTTATTATAATATATATATATACATGAGTCAATATATGCATTGACGTATAAAACATAGATCTCAAGACACGTGTTCACTTATCCCAAGATCTAAACTGAAACATAATAATAGTTGGTTAGATTGATAATAAAATAAAAGTGATTTAAATGATGATCAATATTTAATATATTATACTTCCTCCATTTAAAAATATAAATTATTTTTAATAGAATCTTATCCCTTAATAAATTAAATTTTATTTTTAAAATAATCTTATCTTTTTATATTTATCCTTATTAAACACTCTATAATAAATATAAAATTATTATTAACATGGATACTTTTAGAAAAAATAATAATTATATCTTAAAAGATTAAAAATGTCTTATATTTTTAAATATTTAACTTTTTAAAAAATATCTTATATTTTAAACGAAGAAAGTATAAAGTTTAGAACAACTCAAAGCTACTTTTTTTTTTTTTGGATACAATCAACCTATATTATACTATATACTAGTAATGAATACTACAATTTTGTATAAAATATTGGGGGAGGGACAAAATAAACAATGATGAATGTTTGATGGTTGTGCCAAAATAATCCAAAAGTAAAACAAGAATAGGGCTGATTTGGAGGAAACTTTAGCTAAGAGCCTAAGGCCCCAATTAATCATTGTTTATGACAATAAGTTACTGTGAACAATATTAATAAATAAAATCCACTAGTATTATTTTATGACACAATCCGCTCTCTGCTGCAACTGAAGTTTAATATTAATTAGTAATTAGTACATTAAGGCCAAGTTGCCTTTTAATATGAAGTTAAATTATCATAGGATTATTTAGAAGGGGCATAAATTAAAGAATTAATTTTTCCTTTTAATATGAAGTCAAATTATCATAGTCTTATTTAGAGGGGCATAAAGAACTAATTTATGACCTAAATTGACATAAGTGATTTTGATTTTTGAACAATCTAGAATCCTGACCAACCTTGACCAATGTGGAACATATTGTCTTTTTGTGTTGTTTTCCCCAGACAGCGAGCACATAGAAGGACTAAATAAGTAATTATATACCAGAAGCCTAACTGTTTTTTTAGTTATTTGTCTTGGTTCAACTAAAACTTTTTACTGTCTCTTTGGTTTTGTTTCCACTTATTTACTACTCTCATATTTTTATTTGTAACTTTTAGCAAATTTATAGACTAATTCACTATAAAATTTTTTTCCCTTATTTTATATTTTCCAAATGTTTTGATACTTTTAAATTTAATTCAATCTTTTTAGTCTTTTAATTCTCCCTTGTAAGATTAAGAACGGAGAATGCATGAGACTGGCAAATAAAAGTTTCTCATGAGATTAATTTGTAAGAATAATCCTTACAAACATGGTTAAAGTCATGAATTCTGCTCTAACAATCATGATGAGTTTTTTGGACTAATTGGTTAAACTTTTTAATTATATTGAATAAGTTTTTTAAAGTACTTGTACATTTTGGCTAAAAAAAAGTAGTAATTAAACGCAAATTAAGAAATAAAATTAATAAATATAAGAGTATTAGTCATTTTGCCAATTTTACCCTTAAATCTTAATAAATGTTGTTAAATAATAATGAGCATTTTGTAGATATAACAGACCAAACCAAACAAACAGCTTAACGTTTATTATATTTTACATTATAGTTAATTTATTATATTTGTTAATAATTATATCATTATATGTCAATGATAAATTCATTGTAAATTTTTTAATTTTAATAACAAATTCTTTGCATATCAATAATAAATTTTTTATATGTTGATATGAACCAGCTACACTCTCAAATTTTAAAAAATTTGGTTCATATTTTCTAAGCACAAATTTTTTTCAACTAACAGTCCAATTTATCCAGTAATAAATAAGGATATAACAAAAAACTTTGATAAATACTATTTTGTACTTCCTTCGTCCAAATTTATTAGACATTTTTTATTAAAATTATGCATACTAATAAAGTTTATTAAATTCACTTTAAGATCTTTTTTATTTAAAACACCAATATAAATTTTTAAAAAATACTTTTCATTTAATATAATTTTATGTGTGAAATATTAAAAAAGAGAGAAAATATAATAAAGAGGAATTGAAAAAGTATAATTAATGAAACTTTATTTTTATCAAAATATCTTATATTTTAAAATTTTTAAATCATATAAAAGAGTAGTTCTACTAAAATACATATTAATTTTGATAAGCGAGTAATAAAGAGATAGATGGATAGATTACTAACCAAATGAACAAAATCTCTGGCAGCGATGGCAAGAATATCAGCACAAGACACAACGCCTGGGCACTTACTCTCCACTAATTCCTTCGCCTTCCTCACTGTCTCGAACCCTTCTTCTCTCAGATCTCTGTTCTGCTCCGCCTCCTTCTCCGCCTTCCCTCCGCCCTTCGACGCCACCAATATCGACGCATCACAACCCTACATATACACACACATGTACATAGCCAACCCCATTATTCAACAATCCTTCACTACTACTTCATCGATCAATCCACATTACCAGCAACATCGAATATTGAGATCAATATTAGCTTACCTCCACGAAGCAGTCATGGAAGAAGAGGTTGATGGTGGCCGGAGCAGAGACCGGAGTGAGCTTGAACTGCTGAGAGGTGACGGCGCCGACGAGGTTTTCAATGTCAGGGCAGGACTTGGAGTAGTAGTCGACTGAGAGCTGGCGATGATTACTACTACGACGGCGGGGATGGCCGGAGGAGGAAGAGTTGGTCAGTGATTGGGAGGAGCAGAGAGGCTCTGTGAAAATGGAGAGAAGGAAGAGACAAACGAATAGAAACAACAAGGACGAAGGAGGAGGAGGAGAGAGAGACATGGGTCTGGATTGTGGTGTGTGTATGGTTGGTGAGAATGTTGAAGAAGACGACGAGGTTGAGACTGAGTTGTGAATGTTTGTTAAGAGTGATGGGTTTGGAAATATGCAGCTAAGAAAAAAATTTGAGGTAAGAGAGACCCGTGAGTGTCAGAGAATATAATTCGAAGAAGCGAGGGGGCCAAAAACAAAAAAAACAAAAGAGAAAATAAAGAACTCAATGAAAGGAAAAAGAAGAGTCGCTTTTGCTTTCACGTGTACTGATGAGTGTTGATTGAAATGGTCAAGTTGCTAGTTAAAAGGTTCATGATCTATAGTTAAATTAATTATGAACAAAATAATTTTTTTTAAACTAGTAAATACATTAATTCAATAACATACCAGTTCAATTGATTGGGTTGGCTCAATCTTCGCTACAATGTTCCTATCTATATGTATACTCCTCTGATTTTATTCATAAAGCAGAGAAAGAATATTTATTTTGATCATATTTATAAAACATTTCAATGATTATTATATTTATTTTTACTCTTTTGTTCCTATTCAATGTTAAAAAGATTATTAAATATTAGAGTATTTTATTTTTAGAGTAAGTATATTTAATAAAAATAAAGATGAAAACTTGTTGAATTTTTAGACAAAATTAATGAGGTTTAATATTTTTTTTATTCTGATGAAAATATTAAAAGTGACTTATAAATAGAATAAGAAAAAATACATCAGTACTCATTAGAGAAAATTGATCTTCTTATAAATTACTATGTAAAAAAGTTATTTTCTTTCAATTTTACCTTTTTATAATTTTTCATGAAGAGGGTAAAGGATTGCATGTGGAAGATAAAATGTTTGGACAGATAGATAACAGGAGGAAGTATTACTGCCGATCAAAAATATAAATACAATATATTTAATTTTTTTAATGAGTTAGATGTTTAAAAATATAAAATATCTTTAAATCTATCAAAATATAATTAATGTGTTTTTTTTAAATTATTCATAATAAATAAATTATTTTATATTTATTTCAAAGTAAAATACCTTTATTTAATAATTACAAAAATGATATTGATTTAAAAACAATTAATTAGTTTATGGGACAAGATTTGATTAAAATGTTTAATGAGAGAGTAATTTTTTATACTCCTCCTATCTCAAATTATAAAATAATTTTAAAAAAGTTTTTTTATTTTAAAATATAAGAAACTTTAAGTAAATTAAAAATTCATTAAATGCTTCAATTTTGATATTATTCTTCCTTTTTTATAATTAATTTTTATTTTTTAATATATTAAATGATAAATATTTTTAAAAATTTATATTTTTATTTTAAAAATATAAGATTATTAAATTTATTTAATAAAATTTATTGATATGTAAATTTTTATTTAAAAATATTTTATAATTTAAAATAAAAAAATTATTTTATTTATTTATTTATTGTGAAAGTAAGGGGCTTTGAAGTTCGAGGACATTGAAATTAGACATGTAACAGCATAGTGCATCCACCTGAGTCAGCTCTCTGACATATCGTTGTTCATAGATCAGAGATGTCATGCGCGGTTGACTATTGTCTGCCTCTTCGGATTGTTATTCAACAAAATACAAGCCAAGTTTAGAGCCGGTAATTCAGGCGGGCCGGACTTATTTGAATCGGGCTTAATTCAGATCAGGCTTATTCGGATCGGGCTTAAAGTATCCTACCCCTTCTAAAAAGCCCATATAGCCAAGCCCGGCCCTAACACCTTTGGGCTTCGGGCTTATTCGGGCTGGCCCGAATACCCAAAACTTTTTAAAAATATTTTTTCTGCATTTTTGAACCAATTTTAATTTTTAAATAATTCTATTAATCGTAAAATATTATCTTAATTTTAAAAGAATAAAATAAAAAATAATTTATCAACTTTGTATTTAAGTAGCTCTGTTATTATTTTATTGTATTATGTATAATTTATTCATGAATGTTTCCTTTACTTGTAAATTAATGTCTTAATTGTTTAAATATTGCTCTTATCATAGTCATATATAAATATTTTATATATTTTAATTAAATTATATTATTTTAATTATGATTAAGCTGATCCCAATTCAATCACAGTTAGACTACTAACTTAAAATTATTATTTCAATTAGTTCAAAGTTTTAAATAACTTTTAGGTAAATTATACTTTTCATTTTTATGAATATAAAAAAATTGCCATCATTATATTATATAAAAAATTATTTAATTATGAGTAAAATATTATTTTTTTTGAAATCACTTTTCTTTAACTTTTTATATTGTTTAACTCTTATATAAAAGGAATTCTTACTCTAGTTTACTCTTAATTTTTAACCAAATCTAGCATGGACAATAACCAAGTAATTATTCAAGAATATTATTCTATTTATTATGTTTATCTAGTAGTAGAGTCAGAAATTCGTGCATGCCTAAATTTTATTTTTAAAATTATTTTCAATTTTATTTTTACTTTAAAATTAATTCTCTTAATTTATAAAAAATATAAAATTATTTTTTCACATGCAAATGATTTATAGGACTCAAAATTTTTTTTAACAAAAACTGGGTCTTAAAATATTAAAATCAATATTAAAATATATTTTAAATATTATTTTGAGATATTTTATTGATTAAAAATAATAAAAATATGAAATATAACTATTTTAATTTTTTTAAAAAAATAACTACATTAAAACACTTATATATATAGTATTTTGATATAAAATGATATAAAATTTTAAAAATTAATTAATTTTTATCATATTTTATATATTTTTTTAAAAAATTATTTTTTTTCGGGTATTCGGGCCAAGCCCGAACCCGATCGGGCTTGGCCCGAATTTCCTCGGGCCTATTCGGGCCGCCCGAATAGGCCCGAACAATAAAAAAATAATTTTTTTTCGGGCTTGGCCCTAAATTTTTCGGGTGGTTTCGGGCTGGCCCGTCGGGCTCGGCCCAAATTACCGGCTCTAGCCAAGTTATTATGAGGCAAAATAATATAGACAAATAATCATGGTTCAGCTTCAAATATCTTAGACACAAAATGATAAAAAAAAATATAATAAGAAAGAAGGGTTTAGAAAATCTAAGCCCCAAAAAAACATAAATGCAAGTTACGAAACATACTCCCTCCATTTAAAAATATAAGTATTTTTAATCAAATCTCACCTTCCAATAAAGTAGTTATCTATTTTTTAACTAACTATATCTTTTTATATTTAATTCTATTAAACACCTTATAATAAATATAAAGTCATTATCAATAGAGACACTTTTTAAAAAAAAGATAATGATTACACCTAAAAAAACTAAAAAAGTCTTACATTTTTTAACATATAATTCCTCAAAAAATGCCTTACATTTTTAAATAAAGAGAATATTTAAATGATATAAATAAATAATTTAAAAAATTGATTAATTATAATAATTATCGGTTAAATATGAAAATTTTGACTAAAATTCCCTAATAATTAATCCTTAATTTTTTAAAAAAATTAATGAAATTATCATTAAATGAAAAATGGAAAATTTTTTTGGCCAAGAAAAAATATTATTTTACTTTAAACAAAAAAATAAATCAAAGTTTTGATTGTATTAATGAAAGGGATTCCAAATCATTGAGGTATGAAGTACTGTATTTTTCAAAGTAAAATAATAAATGAATAATATCCATTTGATTTAATTAAATTTTTATATTTACATTGTACAAATTAAATTTAAGAAATCATATTAGTAATAATTTATAAATAACACAAATTATTACTCCCAATAGTCTTTAATATAAATTAAAATCTTTTTACTTGATCCTAAGCACGACCTATTTGAGAAATACCTCTATTTTTTTTTTATACAAATACTTCCATTTAATTTATCTCAAACTACAGAAAATTGACCCCACTTACACTTCTAGGAAAGTAATTTTTCAAATATATTGCCATTTTTTTAAAATTTTCAGATTGTTAACTATTTTAACTATTTCCACCTTAATTAATTCACATAAACTCTATTAAAAAGTATTATTTTAAAATACGAGTATTATAGATTAACACATTGATGTTGATAAAGTTGCCATAAAAAAAAGGAAAGTATTCAACCTTGCAAATCAAATTGCATTGAGCCTGTTTGTTTTGTTGGCAATTGTGAGAGTAAAATCATAATCTGAATCGTGTTCAAAAATATTATTCTTAAAAATTATTCCTTCACATCGGATTGATTGCAAGGCAACTTCTTATAATTAAATAGATTATTCCTGCAAAAAGTAGAGACACAAAGCAACAAAAATTTCCTAAATAGACTTAAGCATTACCAGCATTGAAGCAATGTTATAGAGGAGGAGAGAGAGCCTATCTTAAACGTTCATTTAAAACATGTGGCAAATACTGTCTTTTATATCCAATATCTCAAAATTGGGTAATAAAAAGACATTATAGGTTACAACATAAATTTATTTAAAAAATAATTAATATTATTAATTTATAATAATTTTTTTGAAATATTCATTAATATTTTATAATATCCAACATTTTTTGTTTTCAAATTTTTTTCTATTTTTAAAATAAAAAAACTCATTTTAGTAAGTTTTTGAATTTAAATATTTCTAAAATCATCTTTATTTCTTGTTTTTAAAACCAAAAAATTGAAAATATATTATAGTTGTTTTCATTTTTTTTCTAAAGCACACTACATTCAACTATTAGATATTGCCTTCAATTGTGACTATTATAAGCCATCATTATTAACTACTAGTGACTATCACTATCACTCAATTTTTTTTAACTATTTTCAAATTAATATAATCAAACATATTTTCCTTTTGCTTTAATTTGTTCTACATAAACAATTCTAAAGACTACACTACAAAACTGCATTTAAAAAAAAAATTGGAACACTATCAAACAATCCCTAGATGTGTGTAGTGGTAAATATTCGAAACAAAATCCATAATGATCCTAAATTTTCAATTTTTTTTGAAAAACTTTTGGCTGTTCATTGTACAGAGATTTAAGACTCACTGGAGAGTTTTTTTTTTTTTTTGGGAGTGGTCCCGACGTAAAGAGAGATTTTTGTTTGAAATTAAACCTCATTAGGTGT